GTGGGGAGTTAGTTGCTCTGTGAAGATGTCGTAGATGGGACTTGTCGGACTTTGCCACTGAAATATCTCCCACGCAGTAGGAAACAAGCAGCTTGTTAGGGTTGGGTGGAAGTAGCTTGCTGCCTCCAAGTCATCCATCCCTGCATTTATGTGCATGGTGAGTTGGCCCCCTGCTTATTTGGTTTATGCTTGTCTTCATGTTAGGGTAAGACTGTCCTCTGAAAAGTACGTCACCAACTCTGAAGCTCCAAGAAGACACCATCTACCAAGACTGTACCGTCAGCCTCTCAAGTGGTCCAGTGGGTACACACTGCAGCGAGTACGCTCTCCAGTTTGAGGACAATCCCTCAATGAGATATTAGAGAATCCCAACCCCACCCAATATGGAGGTGCTAAGAGGTACCAAATGTCACTTGACACTGGAGACACTTGGAAGGGCTGCATAGGAGACCATCCAAGTTTCAGCAAACATCCAACAAGGAAGGCAATAGTTTCAGACCCAAATCAATGGACTTGAGAATCTGGTTAGGATTCTGGGATGTCCATAATTTTTTTTTAAAAATAGCTTTAAGATGCAACTCAATGCTACATAATTCACTCATTTGAAGTATACTACACAATGTTTTCTCATATGTGGACAGGATTGTGCAGCCATCACCAAAATCTAATCTACTTTAATCTAACTGGAACATTTTTATCTCCCTGCACCCAGAAAAACCATGCACCCGTGAGCAGTCACCTTCCATTACCCCCCAACCAGCGTCCTCCCCTAAATAACCACTAACCTTTCTATCTGTATCAATTTGCCCGTCCTGAATATTCCATATACACAGAATTGCATAATATGCCAGCTTTTATGACTGGCCTTTTAAATTTAGCATATTTTTCAGATTTTGTTCCTTTTTTCTATGGCTGAGAATGTTCCATTGTAAGGATATGCCACATTTTATTTATCCATTTATCAGTTGACGGTCAGTTAGTTGTTTTCACATGTTAACTATTATAAATAATGCTGCTAGGAATATCCCTGAACAAGTTTTTGCTCAGACACATGTTTTCAATTCTCTTGAGTATAAACCTAGAAGGTGAACTGCTGGGACACTCAAAGTGTTAAACTACATGTCCCAGCAATTCAACATGTATATTTGTTCCCCAAAGACTTGAAAACACATGTCTATATTATTTTAACATTCCTCCACCTCGTCTGCACTGTTATTTTATGTCTTTTTGATGATGGTTGCCTTAGTAAGTAGGAAGTTGTATTTCAGTGTGGTTTAGATTTGCATTTCCCTGGTCCCTAGAGAATTTTTTTCAAATGTGCTTATTGAACATTTGTGTATTTTCTTTGGAGAAATGTCTACTTAAATCATTTGACCTTTTGAACAGAGGGATATCTTTTTATTATTGAGTTTTAAGAGTTCTTTACGTATTCTGGATACAATCCCTTATCAGAAGCATAGTTTGCAAATGTCTTTTCCCATTCTGTAAATTCTACTTCTGCTTTCTTGATAGTACTCTTTGCAGCACAAAAGTTCTACATTTTGATTCAGACAAATTTATCTATGTTTTCATTTGTTGCTTGGGTTTTGGTGTTCTATGTAGGAAGTCATTGCTAAAATCCAAGGTCATGAAGATCTACTCCTAGGTTTTCTTGTAAAGGTTTTATGGTGTTAGCCCTTATGTTTATGTGTTTATGATCCATTTTTAATTAATGTTTGAGAATGGTGTAATATAGAGATCCGCTTCATTCTGTTGCATGTGGTTTTTCAGTTGTTCCAATGTCATTTGTTAAACAAGCAAAAAAACCTCTTCTTTCTCCATTGAATCATCTTGGTACCCTGTTGAAAAGGAGTTGACTGTGAATGTGGGACTTTACCTCTGGACCCTCCATCGATCTCTATGTTTATCCTTATGCCTGTAAAACACAGTCTTGATTATTACACATTTGTAGTAAGTTTGTTTGCAGTTAAGAAGTATGAATCCTCTAACTTTGCTCTTTTTCAACATTGTTTTTGACTATTCTAGATCCCTTGCATTTCCATATGAATTTTGTCAATTTCTGTAAAACCCAGATTTTGATGGAAATCATGTTGAATCTTCTAAGTATGGTTATTATCAAAATGGTATAAAAATATTGCCATCTACCAATAATAAGTTCAAGACAGTGGATGTCTTTAAACTTATTTCTATCTTCTTCACTGGTTTCTTTTAATATCCCATAGTTCTCAATGTTTAAGCCTTGAATTCCTCTTATTAAATTTATATCTAAATATTTTATTCTTTTTGATGCTATTGAAGCCAAGCCCTTGTCCTGGGACTGCAGAGCAGTGGACTGGTCAGGTTGGAGCACAGGCTGTGAGCTTAGGCCGGTGGCAATGCAGAACCTACCCTGCCAGCACAAGCTAAGGCCGAGGAGAGCCAGGGTTCATGGACCTGTCACACTATGGCAGCCCAAATCCACTCCACCTAGCGCCACAGCCCTGAACCCCTCAGTATCCACAATCTGCTGATCTCAACCTCCTCCTTCCCAATGAGAATGGGAAAACAGAGTTGGACAGACCCAAATGGAGACTGCAAGGCTAACCAACAGCATTGTGCTGTGGTTTGGATGTGAGGTGTCCCCCGGAAGCTTACCTGTGAGATAATTCAAGAAGGTTCAGAGGAGAAATGACTGGATTGCAAGAGTCTTAACCCAGTCAGTGATTCAATCCCCTGATAGGGATGAACTGAGTGGTAACTGAAGTGGTAGAGTGTGGCTGGAGGAGTGGGCATTGGGGTGTGATTTTGGTGTATATATTTGTAACTGGAGAGTGGAGTCTCCCCGCCCCCCCTTCTTGATCACCAGGATGTGAGCTGCTTCCCTTCCCCACACATTCTGCCATGATGTTCTGTCTCATCTCAAGCCCTGAGAAATGGAGCCGGCCTTCTATGGACTAAGACCTCTGAAACCGTGAGCCCTCCAATAAACTCTTCCTCCTCCATAATGGTGCTAGTTGGGTCCTCTACTCACAACAGTGAAAAAGCTGACTAAAACCCATTGGTATTTTTCCAAACCCTAAATAGCATAAATTTAGACCAATAAAATTGACCCAAGAGCTATATAAACCCCCAGACCAGCGCACTTAAGGGGCAACCTTTATAAGACTCCCTCCCACCCTATGAGAGAGCTGTCTCTTTTCTTCTACGTGAAGAAGCCCTACTCTTTTGCACTCACTCTTCTTTGTCTGTGGAACCCAGACAGAAGAAATTGGCAGTGGGCTCCTGGGGTCTGCTGCAACACGGGGGTGGGGGGCATAACCTGCCATTAAGAGTACAACACCCCACTCAACAGCACTGGAGAAGAATTGGGCTTTGCCGGCTGCAACCCTCACAGCGGACACGATCAGCATCCCCTGCCTGGATCACCTGCTGACACTATGACAGGCTTTCTCAGCTGCAGATGCCTGCATCTTACACAGACCCCAGCCCCCAGCCGAAGCAGAGAATTAGTTTCATCTCAAACTCCAGTTTCACTATTACATCTAGAATTGTTTTCTCAATTTTATTTTCAGAATGATCACTGAAAATGTATAGACATACGCCTGTAATCCCCGTGACCTGGGAGGCTCAGGTAGAAGGATCATGAGTTCAAAGCCAGCCTCAGCAATTTAGTGAGGCACTTAGCAACTCAGCAAGACCCGGTCTCTAAATAAAATACAAAATACAAAAAGGCTGGGGATGTGGCTCAGTGGTTGAGGGCCCCTGGGTTCAATTATATATATATATATATATATATATATATATATATATATAAAAGGTCTGTATATTAATCTTTCACTCTGTAACCTTGATCAACTCATTTTTTACTTCTAATAGTTTTTAGTAGGTTGATTAGGATTTTGCATATATGTATAAGCTATGTCATTTGTGAATAGACATAATTTATTTCTTTTCTAATCTGAATATTCCTCCTCCCCTTCCTCTTTCTTGGTTTCTTTTTCCTCTAATTGCTTCCAGTGCAATGTTAAATAAAAGCAGTTGGGGGGCAGGCATCCTTATCTTGTTCCTGATCTTAGGGAGAAATCATTCCTTCTTAGGTATGACATTAGCTATAGACTTTTTATAGATGCCCATTATTTGGCTCTCTTCTATTCCTAGTTGGTTAAGAAGTTTTACCACAAAGGCGCGATGGATTCTGTGAAAAGCCTTCTGTGTGTCTGCTGTCCTTTGTTCTGTTTGCATAGTTTATTGTAACGATTGTGCCTTCCTAATAACACTATCTTCCTCTGTTTGCTACTACTTGTCTGTGGGGATTTGCAGGAAACCTTTTGTAACAATATATTTTGGTAAAGAGCTAAACAAGGAACAAGTTAAAGAGGCTGAACTCTAGTTTAAAAGTGTACTCAGGGGGTGGGGACCGAGAAGAAGAGACAGAAACATAGGAAGCTGATGGTGTCCACTGCTAACAATGAAGGGAAAGCAGTTGGCATCCACCCAGATTCAAATAAATATCATAGACTTTAACAAAAAGTCTCTTCACAAAGTCATCTGTTGTTAAACAAAGGCATCATTAAAATAACTTTTGCAAAATTATAATTAAATATGATACTTTATCAAGAATGATAACAAGTGCTCAAAGCTCATCACTTTCTAGTTACTTTAGTACATTTTACTGTTGCCTGTGTTCTTGAAATTATTTATGTCTGTTGTATCTGTGTAGTATAAATCCTATAGACTGGTGTGATACTACAGATCTCTTCCCAACTCCATATTCAGTGATGTTAGGTTTATTTCTGGAGCCATGGTAACTACGTATTTCACCATAGAAATTGACAAGTACCACAATAAAATTTTTGGAAGAGCATTTACTAGCACTAGTGTATTTAGCCCAAGATAATAAAAGAGAAAGGCAGGTGAGCAACAGGGGGACCTTCATTCAATTTTCCAGACAGGAATACCCAAGAAAAATGTGTGGCTCTTGCCTACTGTTTTTCCCTGGGATGAATTTAGAACCAGATACATCCAATGCAGGAAGGATTTATTGGAGGCAACAGCACTGCAGAAGATAGCCAGCCTGAATGCTCAAAATTATTTATGCAAAGAGTGCCTCTTTGTGGAGAGGGGATTAAATGATTCACAGAAGATTCTTCTATTTCAAAGAGTGTATTCATCTATAAAGAAATGCTTAATTCAAGGCTAGTAGCGATGATAATTGTATTTCTTCAGACTGAGGAATCACAACGTCATTTCTTCAATTTATATTCAAAGCATCCAGGTCATTCAATGAGTCTGTTTGAACTCCTCCTGAAATATAAACAGATATTTGAAATGTAGATAATTGATGTTTGATTTAACTCTTCCCTATTGCTTTAAAAATTACCGAGAGAACTCAAATATATGAATCTGATATAATCTTTTCAGTGATCCTAAGCAAATGTCTTTTATCTAAACCCTCCTCTTGTAAGAGCTACGTAATTCAATCTCCAAGTTGGTGTCCCTTCCTCCTCCCGTCCTTGCCTAGGCTACTCATGTATGTAGCAGAACTAGGAGGAAAGCTGGGTGTAGCAGCACATGACTATAATCCCAGGAGCTGGGGAGGCTGAGGCAGGAGGATTGTTAGTTCAAAGCCAGCCTCAGCAACTTAGTGAGGCTCTAAACAACTTAGCAAAATGCTGTTTCAAAAATAAAGGGCTGGAAAAAACATACATTGGAGAAAAGAAAGCTTCTTTAAGAAATGGTATTGGGAAAACTGGAAATCGATATACAACAGAATAAAATTAAATCCCTATCTCTCACCATGCACAAAGCTCAACTCAAAGTGAATCCAGGACCTAGAAATTAAACCAGAGACACTGTGTATAATGGAAGAAAAAGTAGGCCCAAATCTCCATCATGTTGGATTAGGCTCCAACTTCCTTAATAAGCACAAGAATTAAAATCAAGAATCAATAAATGGAATGAATTCAAACTAAAAAACTTCTTCTCAGCAAAAGACACAAGCAGTGAGGTGAATAGAGAGCCTACATTTTGGGAGCAAATTTTTACCACACGCACATAAGATAGAGCACTAATCTCTAGGATATATAAAGAACTAAAAAATATAAACACCAAAAAAAAAAAATCCAACAAATAACCCAATCAAAAAATGGGCCAAGGAACAGAACAAACACTTATCAGAAGATGATATACAATCAATCAACAAATATATGAAAAAAATGTTCAACATCTCTAGCAATTAGAGAAATGCAAATCAAAACTACTAAGATTTCATCTCACTCCAGTCAGAATGGCAGCTATCAAGAATACAAACAACATTAAGTGTTGGTGAAGATGTGGGGGGAAAGGCACACTCATACACTGCTGGTGGGACTGCAAATGGGTGCAGCCAATCTGGAAAGCAGTATGGAGATTCCTTGGAAAACTGGGAATGGAACCACCATTTGACCCATCTATCCCACTCCTGGATCTATACCCAAAGGACTTAAAAACAGCATACTACAGAGACACAGCCACATCAATGTTCATAGCAGCACAATTCACAATAGCTAAATTGTGGAACCAACCCAGATGCCCTTTAGTAGATGAATGGTAAAAGAAAATTACACACACACACACACACAATCAAATATTGTTCAGCATTAAAAGAGAATAAAATCATGGCATTTACATGTAAATGGATGGAGTTGGAGAATATAATGCTGAGTAAAGTTAGCCAATCCCAAAACACCAAATGCCAAATGTTTTCTATGATATAAGGAGGCTGATTCATAATGGGTTGCCGGTGGAGCATGGGAGGGTTAGACAAACTCCAGATAGGGAAAAGGGGTGGGATGGGAAGGGAGGGGGCATGGGGGCAGGAAAGATGGTGGAATGAGATGGACATCATTACCCTAAGTACATGTATGAAGACATGAATGCTGTGAATATACTTTGTGTACAACCAGTAATATGAAAAATTGTGCTCTATATGTGAAATATGAATTGTAATATATTCTGCTGTCATATATAACAAATTAGAATTTTAAAAAAATAAAAATAAGTAAAGGGTTGGGGATGTGGCCCAGTGGTTGAACACTTCCAGTTCAATTGCTGGTACCCCCACCCCCCAAAAAAAAGGAACATAGGAGGAATATTAAGGCATCTGAGCAAAAATTCTCCCCTTCATCCCTTCATTTTAATCCATCATCTTTGTTGAACAATGATATCATGTTCAAAGCTTAATCTTGAACATTGTGCCACTATTAATTTTCATTTCAGTAGAAAAATATCATCTCTGTGTACAACTATAGAAAGTATTTGGAGACTCCAAATTAAATCATCCCTTGATGTGAAGTGGCCACATCTCTTAGTGGTGTTCACAGGCATCCAGTTGTGCTAGGACAGCCATTAAAACATTCAGGGGGCTTCCTCTTCCATGAGTGTGATGCCTGAAGACATATGAAACCTTTTTCCCATTTCAAATATGAGAATGCTGAATAGAACTGAGCAAAAATAAAAGTGTTTAAATGTACACTTTATCTCACAGGAAAGAAAATGTCAGAAACAAAGATTGAAAGGAGATCTGGAGCGTTTCCATGCAAGGTCTGGCTATAGCATCTTGCGGGGAAAAAAATTGTATCAGATCAAGTTAGAGTTCAAACAGTCAAAGACAAGAAATGAGGCTTTGGGCCCAAAGCTTAGATCTTGGCATAAATTGGGGATTTTGAGAAGTTTAGACTCTCTGTTAAGACAGAGTAAAAAAGAATCATACCACTGGCCAAGGTAATGACCAAGAGGCTTCTTCCAATCACTATCTGGATAGAAAGATATCTTTCATTAGGCATTAGAACATCAACCCAGAGCCACATGGAGAGGAGTTTATGCTACACTCAGGCCAGGAGACTCCACGTGGGCAAACACTCACAACTCTGTCCTGGGACAAGAACTGGCCTCAGGAAACGAGCATGCAGCTCCTCTGGAGGATCAGCTCCATATCACGTGAAATGTGGGGTTTCTGTGGAAAAAAAAACAAGCAATCCCCACCAAAGGAGAGTTGTCTGCTTGGTTTTTGGATCTACAACGTAAAAACTAACGGAAAAAATGTTACCAAGTAAAACACAAAAGGAACCTTTCACTTAGAGAAGACAACTTCATGTGCTGAACTTACAGTATGTTAGAATCTGAATAGGTAGAGAAATGCTGAAGAAGGAAACGCAAAGAACCCAGTAGAACAACAGGCAAAGGTGTGCAGTACTTGAGTAGTTGCCCACCCAAGGGTCCTTCTATGCTTCTGTCTTTCTACTTTGAATCCGATTTGGCTATGGGTAGCAATGAACCTGACCCTGTCCTTTTCTAGACTTTCTGAGGCCTAAGGGTATCACGTGGCACAGGTCTGGCTAATGAGACACAAAAAGAAATCTGCTAAAGGGGCTTAAAAGAGAGCCATTTATTTCCAGATAGAAAGGTGGTGGAACCTACTCATGTCATTCCGGAGGCTGAGGCAGGAGGATCACATGTTTGGAGCCAACTTGGGTCACTTAGTGAGACCCACCTCAAAATTATATATATATATATATATATATATATGGCTAAGGATGTGGAGCACCCCTGGGTTCAATACCTAGTACTTTAAAAAATGAAACAAAACATAAACAAACACGTGGAGACTTCCCTCTCTGCTTCCTGATCACCATGTGAGCTGGTTCCCTCCGCCACACCCTCCCGCCATGATGCTCTGCCTCACCTTGAGCCTCAAGGAATGGGGCCAGCCTTCTATGGACTAAGACCTCTGAAACAATGAGCCCTCAAATGATTTTTTTCTCCTCTACAATTGTTCTGGTTGGGTCTTTAAGTCACAGCAGCAAAAATGTTGACTAAAACAATAACCCAGGCCTGGGATCCCCCAACCCCAGCCTCGTAACCCAGGGCAGCCTGGACAGACTAACTTCTTCTCCGAACTGAGTGGGAGTCCCACGCATCAGTCAGGTGAACCAACCAGGAGGCCACCCTTAAGAAGGCTAGTGGAAGTTCTCACACAGAAAGGCGATGGTAAAATGAGGAACCTGGAGGATCAGAAAGGAAGAAAGACCAGGAGAAAATCGGCACATAAAAGAGAGTCGACTCCTCTTCAGTGTTATAAATCGTATTGATGATGGAAACAGAATTATAATACCATTTGATAGTCTAGACCATCCAACTTAGATGGGAAAACAAGGGGACTTGAAAGAAGGTGAGGTGTGCACACTCACTGGAGGTGCAAAATCACGTCTATTTACGTAATATTCATCTCATGCTTAATATAGAAGGTTTAAAGTCAGTGGAAGAAAAATGACATCTCACGTTCACATTTTTAAAGACACAAGGGGTTATATGAATATCAGATTGAATTTCTAGAGATGTAGAGGAAAATTATATAACAATACCCACCAAATACATTAGTCAGTCATGTCTCACTGTGACCGAAACACCCGATGAGAACAACTTAGAGGAGAAAAGGTTTATTTGGGACCATGGTTTCAAAGTTCAGTTCACGGTCAGCAGAACCCAAGGCAGAAACATTATGGTGGAGAGGAGATATTTTCAGCCTATGGCAGCCAGAAAGCAGAGAGAGACAGTGAGAGAGTGTAACAGGAAGGGACCAGGGACAGATATAGTCCCCAAGGGCATGCGCCCAGTGACCTATTCCTCCAGCCATGCCTCCTTTGCCTACAGTTACCACCACTAAGCTATTAATGGATTGATTAATTAATTAAATGATGGATTCAGAGCTCCCATGATCCAATCATTGTCTAAAAGTCCCACTTCAGAATCTTGCTGTAACAAGAACATGCTTTCAAATTGTGAGCTTTTAGGGGTGGGGCTCATTACAGATCCAAAGTATACCACCAAACAATATGGCCTCAAAATGTATGATGCAAAAACCAATGGAACTGAAGATGAAAGAAACAAGTAAAAACCTTGCACTTGGAGACTTCCGCATTTCCTTCTTACCAACAGCTGATGGCACTTCTAGAGAAAACAACCAGGAAGAATATAGAATGATATCAGCCATAGGATCTGATTGACACATACAGACTACTCACCCGACTACAGCAGAATGCATGCTTTTCTGATTTTCAGATGTCTATAGACCATTCACCAAGACCACATCCTGAACTACAAAACAAGTCTCAACAAATCCAAAATAATTATAATCATACAGAGTATTTCCTCTTCCTATAATGGAATCAAAGTAGAAATTTAAAAAAAAAAGAAAGAAAACAGGAAAAATCTCTAAATGCATGGAAATTAAATGACACACTTCTACGTAAGCCATAGGTCAAAGA